CTTTAAAGTGAGCCAAACATAAATGTGTATACAACCTTTCTGGATGAATGCTCCCTCTTCTCAGTCTGACAGATACCTCACAGTTAAAGCACCTACTTGTGTGTGTCATGTTGAGTATGTGCCGAACTTGAGATGTTTGCCCAGTCAGGACTTCCTTCTTGGGATAGCTCTAAAAAAGTAAAAACCAAACAAACAAAAACTTAAAGGGAAAAAAGATTAAAATACAGTTACAACAACAAATGAAAACAAATTCAAAGATGCGCTAAAGCTAACTGAGATATCCACCCTATGCTGTCTTTTTCACTCTAGACCAGTTTTTTTGCAGACACATGGTACTTTAGCCTGAATGCTGATATACGAGTGTGTGTGCTCACAGAAGAGCAAACACTTACAGAAAAGCTTTCCTTGCCTAGTGTACAGGATCTATTTTAGAGGCATCTGTTCAAGATGCAGATGACCTTCTGTTGGCCTGTTGATGTGAACAGATTTTTGTCATCAACTTCAAGCTTTAGATAAGTACTAACTGTAAGAGTGCTGTCTGATATTGGCAGACAATGACCCTGTATTCATCTTTTCATTTAGTAAAATGAACTGCTTGCCAGTGGCAGTTAAAATTTACCCCCTTTGCCACACCTGCTATTCCACCCCTGCACTGCCCTTCCTGTTCCACCAACTCGAGCTTCTCTGCAGCCACATGGTTTAAGAAATTGATCCCCCTGAAAAATAATAAATGAGCTCTTTTCAGATTGGGTTATTTTTTAGTGCTCTCTTCCCTATCTGGTATATTGTCCACCTGCGAGGTGCAGACACAATCATTTTTAAAAAGAGGTGGCAACTTCTTAAACCAGTTAAGCTTTAGTAGTGCTACCTGGTCTCAAACTATCACCTCTGTTTTTAACGAGGAAGCCAGAGCCTGCCTTTTGCTTTTTAACACATACTTAGAACATCTCTGTGTCCACTGACATGTATTTACCTCAATTGTGGTGTGATCGTTTTTGACAAAAAATCTGGAATACAGCTTTATTGATACAGGGTCCAAGTTCTTCAAACCTATAGTCCTGCAGAAAGTTTGGCCTCAAAGAAAGAGGTAAGGTAATCAATTTTGTTTAATTAAATCAACCTAAATTAATTGTCAGCTAATAAAATAGTGTTGGTCAGCTCATAAAACAAATTAAGATTAAAAGAGTAGTTGCCATGAACAGGTGGTAACTCTGTTTCCAAGTTAGACCACATTACACTCTGGCACAGGATCTCGGAGAATACCTCATATTCTAGTTTTTTTAAAAAATGTTTATGAAACTTATAAAATATAGGGCTCATTTTATAACCAATTTTCTATCTCACCTGCCAAGAGCAGTGGGGGTTGAGCCAGCATAAGGCGGATGCAGAGTTTTAGGCAGCTGTCCAGAAATGGATTGCCTCTGCAGGGCTGTGGAATACATTTCTACCTTTGCTTGGCCTTTCTTTTGTAATTCTCATGATTTAGTTTTCTCTTTCCTGTTGCTGTTACAGAAAAGATCTTGTAAACATTTTTTTGATGTCATTGATCTCGACCTGGCACTGTTGTGCAAAGGGAGAAACTTCCTGTGCTGCACTGTGGATGCTGTCTAACTAGATGCATCTTAGTAACAGGATTCCTCTGGATTTGGCCCCTGGTATTTCTGTTGACTCTGCAGTTCTTGCAGAAGGCATAAAACATTTATCTAATTTTAACTGGAAAGGACAAAACTGGAATCTTTATCTGCCTCTCAAAGTAGAAGCAGAACTTGGTGGTTTGTAGTTGCTGTTAATGGTGGAATAATGAAAGAAAAATTATTGCATTGTGGTTATTATATTATTCAGTTAATAGTGCAAAACTATGTGGTTCTGAGAATTTTGTTATGGCTTGCAGTTAGTTTGAATGATCTGTAGTGATGCAAAGCTTTTAGCACCAAAGTGACTTGTTGCACTGTCTGTAACTTGTATCTCATACCTGTTTTCTCTGACCACCCATTCCCAGAAGTCTCATGCCAGATGCACTTGGTTGGTCTTCTGTAAAGCCCTTAACCCTGGTAAGGCACTGAAAGACTAAATTAATTGCCTCTTCCACATCAGTCCTCCTCTTTCAGAGAGTACAATCACAAAACAGTATGCTGCATTGATACAGCTCTCTGGGGTTCTGGCTGCAATGACAGTCTCAGTTAAAAGGGGATGCTCCAGGAGAATTCCCCACCTGAGAGTTTCAGCTGTGAGTGCACTAGACAAATACTGCATGGCCTTGTAGCCTCCAGCATCTTGTTTGGTGGCTTTACCTGGCTTTAATTTTCTGTCACATATTGCCTTGGGACTTCAGATTGGCCAGAGTTGGCCTTAGGCTTTTAAAAAGTGAAGCTTGGCTCTTGCTTCTCCGCACTCCTCTTGCATCTGATGTGCCCTTCCCTAACATGGAGGGCAGTTGCTGTGGTCCAAGATAACTAATTTCTAGGCTCTTTGAGACTTGCATGTGGTGCTTTCTTTGGGTTAGTAGCTGACCTGGATAACTGAGCTTTGCTCTGCCTTCTCTCAGAAGGCAAAGGATAGGAGTTGCCCTAGCTGAGTGTCTCAGGGTGGTGGGGAAGGTGCTAGAGCTGCATCCCAATCCTCACTTGCAATCATGTGTCTGCTGTAGCAAAGACAGGGAGCAGAGTGTTTTTGACTTGTCTTCTGTAACTCAGGGCACTGCCGTGACTGGTTTGTTACCTATAGCAAGAGGTACCAGAGTTAGAAACCCATCAGATTTGGAAGGGTCTGGAGCTGGAATATCTGGAGAGAGGTTTCTGTGGGAGGCCAGGACTCCCCTGTCTATCTCCTGTCAAGTGTTGCAATTGCTGCTCATGGAGAAGCAAAACTGGCCCTGGCCATGCAACAGGAAAGTCTCAGTAAGTACTGTGTTATCTATCTGCACTTACAGTAACACTCAGATCCAGGCAGGTTTCTGCCCTGGCTTAGAATGTGTCCTAGATCCCCACTTGCCTGCTCTCTCCTCTGCAGCCAGAGGTGGGGTTGCAGTACATGCTGACATAGCTTGGTAACGCTTGCAGGAAAGGCTGCAGCACGGCCATCACCTTCCCCTCCAGGATTTCCCAGTGACAAGCATTGCCTCCTGGTTCCCAGTGCCTGAGCTGGAGGGGATAGAAGTGGTGTGAGTGGTGCAACACGATGTGGTTGCTTATCTGAGCAAAGCCATGGTGGGCCTTTGTGGGAACATCCCCTTGGGTCCCTGATCTGATTTACCTTGTCCCTGCTGAATGAGTGTCACTTGAAACCCAAACCTTGGGTTAAACCAGCTAAAAAGATTCGTCACATTGGCAACCCTGTGCGGGGCTTGGAGGCAGGTCCCTCAGAGAGCATCTCTTTAAGAAAAAGGGAATAAGATAGGGTTGGTGTCCATTCAGGTCTATGGCCTGTTCATGCACATGTCCCATGCTTGCCCAGCGTTATGGAAACAGCTGCTGGGAGTCACACCAGCAGCCAAGTCTCTATTTACTTCCCTCAAAGGATAGGTTTAGGAGGAATGTAACACTGGTGACTGTGGGACTGGACTTGGCCTGTTATCACTGCTTGTGTGCTGTAAAGCTTGAGGTGACACAGAAGGGCTGGAGGGATATTAAAACATCAGCCCTCCAGAGGAATCTGTGTGGGTTTTAGTGAGTGTCTGAGGGTCTTAAGGGACTCCAGGCGTTGTCCAGATTTGCAGTGGTGTCATTGCACCAACGTCTCCTGTTCCTCCTAGTGAAGATGAGTAGGAGGACAATAAGCAAGCCTGCTGCTCAGCTCTCTAGGCATACACGCAAAACCATCTAGGACCCCAAACTAACAAAAACCATATTCAAAGCAATTATCTGATCTTGTTTGTTTGTTTATAATGTGATGTTTCTAGACACTGCTACAACAAACATACTCTTGTAAAATCTTGTAACAGTTGTAAGTAGTTAGTATCTTCAAGATGATTTTATGTGTGCTGATCATGACTAATATACATCACTGCAGTGTGACTGTCATCCTCCAGTGCTGAGGGAAATTTTTGATACTGACAATTATTTTCTTAGCTTGTTTAGCATTTTTCTTTCTCTTTTTTACCCTTCTGTGCAAGAAAACACACATACTGATTTGCTCATATATAGTGCTTTCCAGATGAAAGTGCTTTGTGGTTCACAGACTTAAGTAATTAGGTCTTCTCCGGCCTCAGAGTGGTTTACAAAGGCAGTTGAAGTTGTCTTCTCTGGTTTTACACTTGGAGATAGAAAAATCTCTAGAGGCAAGGTTAACTGGCCCAGCTCACAAGCTGGTCCCAGCAGAACTGGGGGCAGGCACCCCCTCTGAAGTGTACATTGGTTTTCTAAACATAGGATTTGCTGCTGTGCCCATACTGCTAAAGGCATTCCCCCCCCCCCTTCCCTCTCAACTTGATGCCTTCTCTTCTTCTTGTCACGAACTTGGTTTTTAGCATATGCACCAGCTGCTGGGAAGGTGCCAGGTTCTTCTTCTCATGTCTCAGCCAAAACGATGGCTGCTGCTTTCCCTTCTTGAACCTGAGACCACTTTTTCCCCGTAGCGTGCAGTTGAGGCAATGACTGCAGTTATCCAAAAAAAAAAAACCTAAACCCAAAACCAACCCCAAGCCCCTTTTACATTCAACCAGAATGGATTGCTGCAGCCTGTTTCATTCACTAGGTTTTTCTGTGGTTGTATTTCTTGGAAGCATCATCTCCAATAGAGGCACAGGGCTTTTTTACAGGCTTATTTCAGCACTTTGAGAGCACAAGTGTGTGCGTCTGTGCATGCATGTCTTGCTGTGGGTGGGAAGGGGGGAAGTGCTGGCAAGACTGCAAATGAGCCAAGTGGGGAGAATGAAGAAGCTTCCATTCCTTACCAAGTTTTGCTCCGCAAGCTGAGTAAACTTTTTCTTTGCTGAACCAATGCTCTGCAGGGCGAGGGTTTGACACGTTCCCAGTGATAATTGCCTTGTCTCCCCCCCGCAGGTTCATCTGGCCACCAGCACGGTTACTTTTCCAACCAGGACCGTAAGTGGGCAACATGAACATCACGGAAAAACAGATCCTAAGAGCGAAGTGGGGTGCACTGTTGGGGAGGGGGGCTGTGGCAGCCAGGGATGCCCTTTGCTTGTTGGGGGGAGCATACGGGAGGGGGTCTGTGAGTCTCAGTCTGCCTTTTGCCTCAAGTATCTGGAAGGCAAGGAAAAGGGGATCTGGAAATGCCCTGCTCCTCTCAGGTTCAGGGAATTGCCCAGGCGGCACCTGATGAGCACCTGGAAGGGCTGTCCTGCTTGCACTTTTCTCATTTTAACTTGGGTCAGTGTCTGAGAGGGGACACCAGGCTCCACAGACCCTGGGTCTGTCCCAGAGTGCCTGTTGTGCTCTCCTTCTTGCAATTAAAACTCACCCCCCTGTTTTCCCTGACCTGCTCATGCTCCTCATCAATCTTTGGGAGTGGTATGCTGAGAAGAGCCAGAAAAGGGGGTCAGCTTGTTGAGGGGAGTGCTGCAGAGCACTCATGGGGAAGGTGGCTGTGACGGTGTTTGCAATCGCAGGCTCTCCCACGAGGAGAGGGGTTTGTCAGCCGTTGGCATCCAGCAACCTGGTGTCTCCCTACGCCCGAGTGTTTCTATGACACTCGTGTTGGTGTCTCTGAACAGCCTCCCCTGAGAAAACCAAAATAATTTTAAAGGTTGGAAGTGAACAAGAGCTTTTTTTGTTACTTTCCAGTGCATGAATTGTATGTCTCCAGACTGATGGTAAAAGATGAAAATCAGGGGACCTTTGAAGCAGCACATATGCTGAGCGGGCGAGTTACTGCAAAAGGCTGGTTTAGTGAAAGCAGTGGTATGCAAGGGCATGGAGAGCTCACACTGATCTGCCTCTGCTCTCCTTGCTAAACACACACTCAGCAGAAAAATGATTGTTCCATAGCCCAGAGGGTCCTGTGAAGCCTTAAATTAGGGCAAGCATCTGTCTTTCTGCCCCTACCTCTATTGGAGACGTGCTTCATGCTCTAGCTGCAGTTCATTTCTCTGTGTGTTTTGCCCATGGATGTTGCAGAACGTGCCTCTGGTTCCTCATTAACCGTGGTTGTTCAGCATAGAATTGCTTCATCCCAGGCACAGCTGGAGTGGGCAGTAGCCAAGCGGGGCAGAGATGGCAGCCTGGGAAGGATCTGCCTCAAATCTGCCGCTCTGCATCCCTTGGGTGGGATCCAGAAACTGAAGATGCTCAACACCTATTCCCAGCACTCGCTGTGGAGACCAGAGGGCATTTGGAGTTCATAATGACTTCAGGTCCTTCCTTGAAATTATTAGTTCTTATTGTATCAGGAAAAAAAATCAATGTCCAAATGGAGAAGTCAGTCCCAGCCCTTCTGGGAGAGAAGGATCTTTCAGCTCTTGTTTCTATCCTCATTCTCTTTCACATTCTCTTCCATGGCTGGGGATGTTATTGCTTACTGCTCTCTGTTACTTGGGCATGTCCTGGCACATGAATGTACTTCTTAGCACATTGACCTCTTGTATTGCAACTGCCATGAAGATGAACTAAATAACATGTCCAAGGACACATCATCTTCATTCACATCTAAATCTGCAATCTATTATTGGTCCCACCACAGTCCAGTCTTGTTTCTGGATTGTCTTTTTTAAGTGGTGATGTGTTTCCTTGGTCTCTCTCCACTTTGTGCTTCGATTTCTCCTTGGTGGCCATGCCCTTTTCACATCTACCCTGTTCCATGTCCGTAGAGGACAGGAATAGTCCTGCCTCCCGCACATCATGGCCCTCTGAGAAGATATTAAATTATTTTAAAATGTGGCTTACTCCATTGCACACTTCCACGTGCCTCTGAGGTTTCATCCAAGCAAAATCTAACTGATGCTACTATTCGTCTGCTAACCTGACAATGGGGGTTAGAGGATTTTGGCTGGGTTTTTATTGTTCTGGGTTTTTTTCGTCTGCAAGAACTCCTCCTTTTCAGCAATTTGGCCTAAGATTCCTCTCGTCCTATGTTTGAAGATGTTTCCTTCAATGGCTTGATCTTAGTAATTTATCTTCCAAATGATACACTGATTTTTCAGATGTAGACTAAACTCTTTGGAAGTACGGGGTCAGGCAGCAAGGCAGAGATGTATTGCTCCTAGTGCGGTTGGGATTTGCTCTCTGAGGCATGGCGGGGGGAGATGACTATTCTGAAATGAACAATTAAATGTGCAGAAGGGATTCCATGACTTCCCCTGAGACTAGATAAAAAATTTGTGCAGTGTAGGGTGCACATGGCAACATGACATGAAGATTTGCTCTTCTCTTTTTAGAATGAGGCATGCCAAATAAGTAGGAGAACAGGTGAACTAAGGGCAGGAGCACTGTAAAATCATCTCCTTCCAACTGCAACATTCATCAATGTTGGTATAGGCAGGACCAAGTGGGAATGATGGAGAGCTAAACACTAGGTCTGCTTTAAGTTGCAATCGAGATCTGACTGCAGGTGCTTTTCTATCTTTTCAAACTAAAGAGGTTGAAAATTCTAAATTTCAATCCAAGTGCCTGGATTTCTTGAATTTTGTCACGGGCTTTTCCCACATCTTGGGGATCTGCATCCCAATACCTTGGGAATGTCACTCCAGGCATCTGGCCTGCTGTCTTGCGCAAGGTGGGAGGGTGATACGGTGTTATGCTTATGTACCAGGAGTGCTTCAGAAGTGTGAGTTGCTGCTATATTTCTAGAGGGTATAGAAAAGGCTGTCTGTTTTCTGTAACACTGACATTCCTCACAGGCTCAGAAGCAGTTCAGTATAGAGAGGAGTGCCTGCGTGCAGCAGATGCTCCTGGCCGCACTCGGGCAATTTCAGCCCTACTCAAGGTGGGTGTCTCTGCCTGGTGCTTTCTATTGGCTGTTTCTCAGTATTCAGCCCATCAGAAACTTCAGTTTCAGGGACTAAAGTGGAATTTAAACTATCTGAATATAGTCCTTTGTGTCAAATCAAATGATTTGTTAAAGTGAGGCCAGATTTGCAGGGAGAATCAATCTTTTTTATTAGATCAACTGATGTGGAAAAAGCAGACAAACTTTCAGGCGTATTAACCCTTCTTCTGGCCTTCATTTGTATTACAAGAATGGAGGGACCTGTCTACCAGGGGAGACTGCTTTAGAATATGCATTCACACCAACTATTCCTCAACAGTCTTGGTCTGAACGCAGACATGGGTGGTATTTTTGGGCATGCTTGTACACTTTTTGGGGGGAAAGACTTGTCTCCCTCTGTGTTTAGACACTAGATGTTACTACACAACAAATAATGGGCTCTGTTCTGCAGCTGACTCATTGTGCAAGTCTGGGGCTAATTACCAAATCCCTCTGTGCCTCCATTTCCATCTGTAAAATGTCACAGATGCCCACCATTCATAAATCGCTTTCAGATTTCCAGATGAGGTGCTGTTTAAGTGTAGAATAGTGTTAGTTTATGCATATTGTGCGAGAGTATAATATAAACCACATGCAACAGAAGAGCCTCACAGATGTGTCTCTTTCAACTGCAAAAGGCAAGGCCTAGGCTGATGATTTAGCACAGCACTAATTGGGCTAAAATAGGAGATTGCTTTTGTACTGATGCAATTGTCACCCTTGAAGTCCTCATTTACCAACAGTTTTTGGAGATAGCCCAGTTATTTCCTATTGAGGAAAGCTGTAGTGTCTTGGGTTTCGGAGTATAGCAATTTATAGCAAATGTCGACGTTTTTATAACATCCCCCACGCTGGCTGTCCTCACACTTCTGGAAGAGGACTGTTCCATTGTTTATTTTGAATGTGCATCTTGCTTGGCCTGTAGCTACACTTTGCACTTTTTTGCTGCCTGCAACCTTTTGGGCTTATCCTAATCGCAAAGTGGAGGCATTTGCCTGAGTCATTTCCATCGCCATTACTGGGTGTTGCATACACAGGAATCCCCGTTTATTGATAAGAAAGCTGTTCCTGTGGCTGTGAGCGAATGAGTGCCTGGCAGCTGTTCAACATTAAGTCAGTTCTCAAAGTTTAAAGGATTTGTGGGCTGTGATGGTTTGGGTTTGGGCAATTAACTTTGGTCAAGTGCTTGAAAGTGTCTTCCAGACACATTTCATGGAGAAAGAACTTAAACAGTTAAGAGATTTGATTCGATTAAGTCCCCTCAAGTTTCCTGGTTGTGCTGTTGGGGCTAAACTCTTGGTGGGTGTGAAACCTAGGAGTTCTTTTGGCCGCAGGAGAATGATGGTTGTTCCTTCCAGTTGCAATCTGGTGCTGTGCTTGTTTGAAAGTGCCGGCATCATCCCTGTTGCCAGTGGCATCATGTGGCAGCAGGCACCAGTGACTCTGCATTGAGCCTCCGAAGCTGTCCTCTAACTGTGTAATTTTAAAGCCCTGGACTGAGCTTATTTGCCCCCATGTATTGTTGTCTGGTGATCAGAAGTGATTATTGATGCTGAGCTGTTGTGAGAAAACAGTGTGGGGTTGGGGGGGGATGAAGGTGTCTCTGGAGATACCCAGTTCCTTCTTGGTGTATTGCAGACAAATTGCACCATTCTGTGTTTGTCCATTTGGGGCTTCCTGGCTGTTCTCCCCGTTCCTCATGAGTGCTCAGAGGGAAGGTCAAAATTCGTTGTCAAATCCTCCACAGCTGTAAGAGTAACATAATATTGAGCCTGAGTGCGTGGGGTGACAGTCGTGGGAGTGAAGACTGGCTGACGCCCAGCCTTACCCAATGCTTGCCATGTTCCAGGATAAATCTCCCTGGATGCTAGGCCTTCATTCATGGGTCTAAACTTGCCATTTAAGGCATTTTTTAGGAGAGTTTCAAGGTGGAGGCATCTAGAACCTCAAAATGAAGCTCCTCAAACTACCACCAGCATCATGTCTGGTAGGGGACACTTACGCTATGGTGCTCATTGTTGTGCAGATATCATAAATCAGAGAAAGCAAAGATAGGCAAATTGTGAATAAGGGCTCGGTCCCATCCGAAAGTAAATGGATCCCCAGATTTGGGAAGCAG